GGGGTGGGTAATTTCACAGGCTAATGAGTGGGAGGATTATTCCAGCTATTTAGGGGAAGGGGGTGGAGATTCCCAGGAATTGGGTCACTGCCCACTTTCTGACCTTTATGGTTGGCCTTGGAACTGTCATGGCGCCCGTGGGTGTATCATTTTGCTTGCTGATGTGTTGCAATGAGCATATACTGAGGCTCAAGGTCTAGTGGAAGTTGATTCATCTGCCATCTTGGACCTGTTTGGTTCTAATCAGTTTATGTCTTGTCCTCAGGCTGTTATTCTTTTAAAGGTTGTGCCCTGCCCCTTTCCCTCCTGTTTCAGCATCATAGCAATTTTCATTACCTAAATTAACTTTGTTTTCTTGTTCTCTCTTTCTCTTCTTCCAGAATTTCTGCTCTACCAGGGCAGGGGTTTTTCTCCGCTCACCACTGCTGTGTCCCTAGTGCCTTGAACAGACTGGCTAAGAATTCAATACCTACTTGTTGAATAAATATCATTCTGTAGTTGGTTTGTTTATTTTCATTGAGTGGTGTGATCACAAACATCTTTCCAGGGTAATAGATATGAATCTGTCTCGATCTTTGAGACGAACGATGGAATTCTGTTGATTGGATGGGCCATGTTTGTTTCCCAACTCTGTTGAATGACTGTGAGTGAAGTAAATGGCCAGATGAACCAGGGGTTTTGTGAGTCAGTACCTCCACCCCTGCAACAAAGTCAGACAGGGGGAAGGAGAACCCACCCAGCCTTTAACAGGCTGATTCACAGAGAGAAAAGTTAAGCAAAAAAGGGTAACTTCGTGTTCTAGCAAGAATTTCCCAGGAAAAACAGTCCTCAAACACAAAAGGCAAGGACAGGCAAATAACTCATTGATTGCCTCTGCAGTGGAGGGTGGAGTTGTTTATTAATTCCCCCACCCCCAAATGGAATTAACTTAAAATTTTTTTTTCTGGTTACAAAAGTAGTATGTAATAATAGGCTTATTATTATGAAAAATTTTTTTCAGACAATACAGAAAAGCATGAAGAAGAGAGTGAAAAACAGTTATAATTTTAGAGCAGTTTATAAATTATCTCGGATTTTTTCAATGCATAGAAATATGTTTAAATCCTAAAGTCCATTTGTGCTTTTTTTTTTTTTTAAATTAAACAGTAACAGCTAAGGCTTAATGAATACTTACAATGCTTGTGCTAGTTGCTCTCGGTGTATTACTTCATTTTATCCTAACAATAGTTCTCTATATGATAAGCACTATTATTAACCCTACCTTACAGATAAGGAAACTGAGACCCAGAGAGGTTAAGTGTTTTAGCCAGCATCATACAGCCATAGGTAGTCAAGCTGGGATTCAGACATAGGTGGTCTGCCTTCAAGGTCCATGACCTTAACCACTATACTACATCACCAAGGCAGAGCACAGGCCCTTTCCTAAGTTAATATCCATACATGTGAGTCATTTTCAGTGTCTGCATTTACTCTTCCATTAACGAATAATTGGAATGTTTCTACTTTTCTCCTATTAGGAAACAGAGAGGAATTACCCTTTTGGTCTTTAAATGAAGTTAAAAACAAACAAACAAACAAAAAACAAAACTGTGGTTAGATGTCACAACACCAGTATTTCCAACCCAGGAGAAGCAAAAAAAGGAGTGCAGCATCACTTGGAAGCAGTTGCCCCATTAGGAATACATATATTATCTGGGGAGGGGTTATTTTAATTTGAGAAACATCTAAATATGTACCTGGCATCATTCTAAGACTTCATGAATATTAGTTCATTTAATCTAAAAATAATACTCTGAAATACATTCTGGGGAAACTGAGGCACAGGGAGGGTAACTTGCCCCAGGTGACAGAGGTAGTAAGTGGCGGTGCTGGGGTTTGGACTCTGGAAATTTGACTCCAGCATCTGGTTTCTTAACTCCTATTCTAACCGGCCTCTCGGTCTACCAGCTGGCCCAAGTGATCCAACCAGCCCTGGGGTCCTGAGAGCAAGCCTGCATTTAGTGGCAGACTGCAGGCAGCAAGGTGAATATCTTTTTTTTTTTTTTTTGCGGTACGCGGGCCTCTCACTGTTGTGGCCTCTCCCGTTGCAGAGCACAGGCTCCAGACGCACAGGCTCAGTGGCCATGGCTCACGGGCGCAGCCGCTCTGCGGCATGTGGGATCTTCCCGGACCAGGGCACGAACCCGTGTCCCCTGCATCGGCAGGCGGACTCTCAACCACTGTGCCACCAGGGAAGCCCTTTTTTGTCTTTTAAACTACATCCAGCTCAGAGTTCTTAGGTCCTAAGTCCATGCAGGCTCTGCTGTGTTCCATGCTCAGGGTCTCACAGGCTGAAGTCTAGACAGCAGCCTGTCTAAATCCTTATCTGGAGGCTCTGGGAAGAATCCACTTCCAGGCTCATTTAGGTTGTTGGCAGAATTCAGTTCCTTGTGGTTGTAGGACTGAGGTCCTGATTTCCTTGCTTTTTGGTCATGGAGGCTATTCTCTGTGCAGTTAGATGCTTCCCGTATTCCTTGTCCCATGGTCCCTTCCACTTTTTATTTAAGGTGACTATCTTAACTGTCACACAGATTTGTCTTGAATAAGAACCAAAGGGACAGGGAAACCCCTTAGTAACTGGTGCTCAGTTGGGACTTATCTTTTGTTTCAGTCTTGGTTGGGGCCTCTGTGCTGGTGTGAGGTGTCCCTTTCTGGAGAGAGCTGGATCGTGTCTGCTGGGCCAAGAATGGGGAGACTTCCCCAAACCAGCCTACTAAGTCTTGGCCCATCACCCTCCTTGGGGATGCATGAGGGAAGACTTGAAGACTATTTAGGAAAAAATAAAGATTAGAGAGAGTTTCCTTGGAGAGGATTTTTTGTGCTACTGTGTGCATAACACCTAATAGGTGCTTAATCCATATTTAATGACGTATACTGGCACTATTCTAGGTATTAGAGCTTCTGAGGGTCTAAAGGGGATGATAGATAATAAGGAAGCAAATTTTTATAAGAAACAGAATATTATGATAAGTGAAAGAAGGCAGACACAAAAAGGCCACGTATATGATTCTATTTATATGAAATGTTCAGAATAGTTAATCCATAGAGACAGAAAGTAGGTTGGTTTCTACTGCCAGGGATGGGGGCAGGGGAGAGTGACTGCTAACAGGTACAGGGTTTCTTGTTGGGGTGATGGAAACGTTTGGGAATCAGACAGTGGTGATGGTTGTACAACATAATAAATAGATTAAAAGCCATTGAATTGTATGCTTTTGAATGCTGAATTTTATGTTAAATGAATTATATCTCAACAATAATTTTAAAATATTTTAAAAAGAGAAAACCAGGATAATTTCACATGGTGATATGTGCATTGAAGACAAGAAAGTAAAATGTTGCAAGAGATAGTAGCTGGCTGGGGTAAGCAGGCAGAGTGGTTCCTGAAGGCCCCTCTGAGGAAGTGACATTTGTGATGGAACCTGAATTATGACTAGGAGGTACTATATAAATATCTAGAGGAAGGGAAATGAAGGATCAGCCTGTGCAAAGGTGCTGAGCTGGGGATGAGCTTGCCACATTCAATGAGTTGAAGCCCACTGAGTTGGGGTGCAGAGGAAAAGGTACAAGAGAAGGTCAGAGACCGCTGCAGGGGCAAGAGGCAGACCAAACTGGGCACTGTAGATAGCTAAGAGGACTTTGGGTTTTGTTCACAGTAAAATGAGGGGCCATGGGATGGTTTTGAGCAAAAGAGTAATGTGATCTGATGAATGCTTAAACAGGATCACTTGGACTGCTATGTAAAGTAAATAGCAGGTGAGTAAAAGTAGAAGCATAAAATGTATTCGTAAGTAACACCCTTTGACACCGTGCTGTGACTAGGAACATTCAGTCATCTTTCACAAACTAGAAATATGCCAGCTTGTCATATTTATTTAAAAACAGGAAGTCAAGGCCATGGTTATTTTGATATTTCTCTCTGTGTAACTGCCTCACCTCCCTATTCTGTGAGTCACCAAGCTCTGTCAATTCTTCCTTCCCTGCCCACCCCGCGTCACCTTTGTATCCTTTTCACTCTCCTCACTTTGAGACCTGGTGACAGATGGAAACACTGGTTTCCAGGCTGCCTCTGGGCAGACCTTTTTTTCTTTCTCCCTTTAAAAAATATTTTTTTTCTCACTTCATGCCATATGTTATTTGCAGACAAAAATTATTAAAATAATGACAAGTAAGAAAAAGGGGGGAAATTATCCATGGTCCACAATGCAGAGATAGCCATTATCAAAACAACATTTTAATATATGGTATGCCTGTCCTTTTTTATTTTTTGGTTTTAGATTTTATTTTATCAAGGTTATACATGAATTGAAAAGTCAAATATTCTAAAAGCAGAAGTCCCCACTTCACTTCTTCCTCCCATTTCCCCCTCCCCAAAGGCAATGACTTCAACTACTTTAAGCTAAATTTTTTATATTTAATTCCATGTCTCTAAATAACATGCTTCTATTGATTGCCACTTCTAAATTTTTCAGTTTTCAGAACTGCTTTCCCTCTCTAGGATCTGAGGGTTCTGCTCTCTTTCCTTCCCTACACTTGGCCCCAGCACATATGTATATGTCCTTCCCACTCCCCCATCCTCTCATGATAGGTATATGGTAATTTTGGTGAGATCAATATTTACTAATTACATAATTGTGACATTCACCACTGAGCACCATGGTAAACTATGATGTCCTTTTGCTTTTCCCCACAGCGTTTTTGTTTTTTATATTGTTTGTTTGGTTTTGTTTTTTTAGTTTATTTATTTATTTTGTTTTTTGCTGCATTGGGTCTTTGCTGCTGCACGCAGGCTTTCTCCAGTTGCGGCGAGCGTGGGCTACTCTTCGTTGCAGTGTGTGGGCTTCTCATTGCGGTGGCTTCACTTGTGGAGCACGGGCTCTAGAGCGCAGGCTCAGTAGTTGTGGCACCTCGGTTTAGTTGCTCCATGACATGTGGGATCTTCCCGGACCAGGGCTCGAACCCGTGTCCCCTGCATTGGCAGGCAGATTCTTAACCACTGTGCCACCAGGGGAGTCCCACTTTTGTTTTTTTTTTAAAGTTGATTATTGTCTTGTTCTCTGACCCCACCCAAGCTGACCTAATTTTCTCAGTATTTGTTATCAACTCCAAACTCTTTGCCAGTGGTGCAAGTATCCTCTCAACTCCTTCTAATGCCTCAGAAACTCTATGTGTTCACCTTCTTAAAGAAATCTCCCTGGAGTCTTCAGACCTGCTGGAATCTAACCTGTTACCGACTCTGGTGCACAGCTGTCATCCTAGGATGTCCGTTCACCATCATCTGGGGATTCCACCTGCTTCTCCCCTGTGCTGTGTTTCTGTTTCCTGTGTCTTGTTCTTCCTTGTCTCACCACAAACACACACCCTTTTCGGTGTAGCCAAAAAGTTCAGCCTCCAGTAAGTCCCTGAGAAAGGGTGTGTGGGAAGTAGAAAATTTTCAACTTCCCATATCTGAAAATGGTTTTATTCTATCTGCTCCCTTGATGACTGTTTGGCTGGGTATAGAATTCTATGTTGGAAATCATTTTCCCTCAGAATTTTGAAGGCATTAATCCACTACCTTCTTATGTCTGAATTTTGGTGGAGAAGTCCAAAGTTATTCTGCTCTTGATACTTTGAAGTGACCTATTTCTCCTTCTCTTCACAAATTAGTTCTTGGTATTTCAAAATTTCACAATGATGTGCCTTGCTATGGACCTATTTTTCTCCAGCATGCTGGGCACTCAGTAAACACTTTCAATCTGGAAACACATGTCCTTTAGTTTTGGAGAATTTTTGTGAATTATTTTATTGATGATTCCCCCACCCCACCCTGTTTCTCTTCTTTCTCGATAAAATGCCTATTTTTCAAATGTGGGATTTTTTAGACCGGTCCCTGAAACAATGTATCTTTTCTCTCCTATTTTCTATCTTTGTCTTTTTCTCCTACTTTCTGAGACAAACTCTCACATTTATCTTCCATCTCTTTTATTAAATTTTTAATATCTCTGCTTTTAATTTCCAAGAAGCCCTCTTTGTTCTCAAAATATTCCTATTTTTAATAGCATCTTGTTCTTGCTTCAGGGTAACTCTCTGAAAAGTTGTTTTTGATTTTTTTTTTTTAGTTTTTTTTTTCCTTCCTGCATTGTCTGTTTTCTTTAGTTACTTTTCTCTATTTGCTTTGTTCTCGATTTTTCATTTAAGAGGGTACGCTCAGATGTCTGATATTTCTTGATTTTCTGCTCATATTTAAGAGTAGGGGACCAAGAAGCTGATCATTGTATATATTGGGAAGTGGGCTGTTGACACTGAACTGTCAGTGTCAGTTGGGAACCCCCCTGATGTTAAAATATCTTTAGGTGATTCCTCTGAGTCTAGCCAGATTTTCTGGAGAAGATTCTTCCAGTCTCCTACCTGGAATGGAATGGCCTGGGAAAGACCACTACATACAATTTGCCTGGCCTCTGGATGTGAGCAATGGGGCCAGCCCTGCAGATGTGGCAAAGGACTGGAATAGGGTATCTCAGCATGCAGGCCCCAAAACAGCCCCCAAAAGTATATCCATGTTAAATTCCTGGAACCTGTGAATGGTATCTCATTTGTGAAAAAGGTTCTTTGTAGCTGTGATTAAGTTAAGGCTCTTGAGATGAGGAGATAGTTATGGATTATTCAGGTGGGCCCTAAGTACCATCAAAAGTGTCCTTATAAGAGAGAGGCTGTGGGAGATGAGAAGCGTGGAGGAGAAGACAATGTGAAAACAGAGCAGAAAGAGATATGTCCACAAGCCAAGGAATGCCGACAGACACCAAAAGCTGGAAGAGACAAGGGATGGATTCTCTCCCAGAGCCTCCGGAAGGAGGATGGCCCTGCTGACACTTTGATTTCAGCCTTCTGGCCTCCAGAACTATGAAAGAATACGCTTCTATTGTTTGAAGCCACACAGTTTATGGTAATTTGTTACAGCAGTCCCAGGGAACTAAACACAAGATTTCACTTAATCCTCCTGTTTTCAATATAGTACCTCTGCCTGAAAACGTGCTGGGGTCCCCAAGCCCAGATACTCTGTGTTACTGTCTCCAAAGAATAAACCTGCAGACTTTTGCAGAGGTAGGTGGCCAGTTACCTAGAGTCGGGCGGGGGCTGGGAGGATCTGCAAATCTGACTGCTCCTCAAACAGACTTTTAGGGAATTTCCTTTATTTCACATCCTCCTCTCTGCTGCCCACTCCTATCCCCAATTTTACTTTCAGGAATTGGTACCACCAATTCCCGAGCCTTTGGGAGGGATTTTGGGGGATAAATCAGGTTGGCTTTGACTTTCCCCTCTGCTGCCAGAGGATTGGGTTTTCTCAGTTCTGCCGATTAACCCATCTGCTTTCTGTTCTCCAAAATGCTCTCACTCTTGTCTCCTCTCCCGTTCTCCAGTCCTTAACGGTTTATGCCTTTAAAAAAAATAATAAATCCCTTTACTGTCAACCTAGTGGAGCCAAGGGGTAAAGCAAAAGTAGAAGCGTGCGCTTAGCTGGCTGTTTTCCCAAAAGACTCAATGGGCTAATCTTAAAATGACGCTCTGTACCTCTGCTGAAATCCCACTTCTTCCGTCCCCAGGGGTCCATGCCTAACTCATCTCTCCATTCCCTGTGCCAAGAATGGGGCCTGCCACATGGTAAGCACGGAGATGATTTTTTTTTAACAGGATCATCCTCAGCAGTTGTTACCAAGTGTGATTACCATAAGAAATTCTTTTTTTTTTTTTTGGCCGCACTACGTGGCATGCAGGACCTTAGTTCCCTGACCAGGGATTGAACCCATGCCCCCTGCAGTGGAAGTGTGGAATCTTAACCACTGGACCGCCAGGGAAGTCCCTACCATAAAAACAATTTTCTTTTAACATCTTTATTGGAGTATAATTGCTTTACAACGGTGTGTTAGTTTCTGCTTTATAACAAAGTGAATCAGCTATACATACACATGTCTCCATATCTCCTCCCTCTTGCGTCTCCCTCCCACCCTCCCTATCCCACCCCTCTAGGTGGTCACAAAGCACTGAGTTGATCTCCCTGTGCCATGCGGCTGCTTCCCACTAGCTATCTATTTTACATTTGGTAGTGTATATATGTCCCTGCTACTCTCTCACTTCGTCCCAGCTTACCCTTCCCCCTCCCCGTGTCCTCAAGTCCATTCTCTAATAGGTCTGCGTCTTTATTCCAATCCTGCCCCTACGTTCTTCATGACCATTTTTTTTTTTTAGATTCCATATATAGGTGCTAGCATATGGTATTTGTTTTTCTTTCTGACTTACTTCACTCTGTATGACAGACTCTAGGTCCATCCACCTCACTACAAATAACTCAATTTCAGATTTTTTTATGGCTGAGTAATATTCCATTGTATATATGTGCCACATCTTCCTTATCCATTTATCTGTCGATGGACACTTAGGTTGCTTCCATGTCCTGGCTATTGTAAATGGAGCTGCAATGAACATTGTGGTACATGACTCTTTTTGAATTATGGTTTTCTCAGGGTATATGCCCAGTAGTGGGATTGCTGAGTCGTATGGTAGTTCTATTTTTAGTTTTTTAAGGAACCTCCATACTGTTCTCCATAGTGGCTGTATCAATTTTCATTCCCACCAGCAGTGCAAGAGTGTTCCCTTTTCTCCACACCCTCTCCAGCACTTATTGTTTGTAGATTTTTTGATGATGGCCATTCTGAGTGGTGTGAGGTGATACCTCATTGTAGTTTTGATTTGCATTTCTCTAATAATTAGTGATGTTGAGCATTCTTTCATGTGTTTGTTGGCAATCTGTATATCTTCTTTGGAGAAATGTCTATTTAGGTCTTCTGCACATTTTTGGATTGGGTTGTTTGTTTTTTTCTGTTGTTTTTTTTTGTTGTTGTTGTTATTGACATAAAAACTCTTGAAGGGAGTGTCTTAGTTTGCCCAGATGCAGAAGTGGAGAATTAAGACAGGGAAGACAGAGAAGTCAGTGTAGGTTACGTTGTTTGTCAATTATATCTCAATATATATATATTTAAAGTCTATAGGGAGAACATAAACAATCTTAATTTCAGGACTCTGAAATTAATATGATTGTAAACTTCACAGACACAGAAAACAGACTTGTGGTTACCAAAGGGACAAGGTGGGGAGGGATATATTAGGAGTGTGGCATTAACAGATACACACCACTATATATAAAATAGATAAGCGACAAGGATTTATTGTATAGCACAGGGAACTATATTCAATATCTTGTAATAACCTATGATGGAGAATAATCTGAAAAAAATATGTATAACTGAATCACTTTGCTGTACACCTGAAACTAACACAATATTGTATATCAACTACATGTCAATTAAAATATGATTGTAAACTTGTTCAGAGTTTCATTTATAAACTGTATTTTAAGAGTATGTATTTTTTATTAAAATACAATTAGGGGACTTCCCTGGTGGCGCAGTGGTTAAGAATCCGCCTGCCAATGCAGGGGACACAGGTTCGAGCCCTGGTTCGGGAAGATCCCACATGCCACGGAGCAACTAAGCCCCTGCGCCACAACTACTAAGCCTGAGCTCTAGAGCCCGTGAGCCACAACTACTGAGCCCACGAGCCACAACTACTGAAGTTCGTGAGCCTAGAGCCTGTGCTCTGCAACAAGAGAAGCCACCGCAACGAGAAGCCCGTGCACCACAACGAAGGGTAGCCCCCTGCTTGCCACTACTAGAGAAAGCCCGTGCTCAGCAATGAAGACCCAATGCAGCCAAAAATAAATAAATAAATAAAATACAATTAGGAAGAAAGTTATTTTTGGCATTGTTTACTATACAGAATGTTAATGTTTATCAAATATATCCTTTCATTTCCTATGTATTCAAAGCCTTCTATAATCTAAAAAACAAATTAAATGTTTATAGAATTTAAATAATGAGTTACTAAACATCACTATACTCTAAAAATAAAAAATAAACTTTTCCAATTCTCTGTGTACTTCACAAAAATTGTTTATGAATTAGACAGTGAAGTAAGTCTCTGTGAAGTCAAAAAGCAGAAAATGTTTAGTATATACTACTGAGTAAAAATATAATAAAATTGGAAATGAGTAACAAAAGTTACATTTAACACTCAATAAGTAGGAAATTCTAAAACACTCCCTAAGTAAATCTTGTCTCAAAGAAGAAACTACAATGAGAGTATCACGGGTGAAAACTCATGAGATATCCTCAAAGCAGATTTTCAAAACAAAGTTAAGCTCCTGAATGTTTATATCATCCAAGCATAACGCGCACACACACACACACACACACACACACACACACACACACACACACACACACACACACAAACACTGTCCTCCCTTGGTATCCTTGGGGGTATTGGTTCCAGGACCCCTCATAGATACCAAAATCCATAGAGGCTCAAGTCCCTTGTATAAAATGGTGTAGCACCTGCATATAACCAGGCATATCCTCTGGTATACTTTAAATCATCTGTAGATTACTTTAATACATAACATAATGTAAATGCTATGTAAACAGTTGCCAGGGCACAGCAAATTCAAGTTTTGCTTTTTGAAACTTTCCGGAATTTTTTTTTAAATAGTTTTGATCTGCAATTGGTTGAATCCGAGGAGGCAGAACCCAAGGATATGAAGGAGGGCTGGCTGTGTGTGTGTGTGTGTGTGTGTTCAAGTGGGTCACCATTGAAGGCAGCTGAAGCTTACTCCCACTGAGGGGTTCCAGGAAACTAGAATATGAACGCAGAATTGCCCCACGCGAGGGGCAAAGGATTGGGGGTGTTTATCCTCCAACTCTTTCGAGTTACTAGTTGAGGGGTGCTCTGACAGCATCAACTCCCCAGCACAGCTGGCTTGTACTGTGCTGAGAAGAAGCCCTTAGGCAGCAGTAAGACCCTCCAAGACGTTATGAGCAGGCACTAGCAGAGTCTGGTAAGGGTAGGGGAGAGCCAAGCAGAAATTCAGATTCCCAGGCACCATGCCCAAGCTCCAGCAGGTCTGTAATAGGACTGGAATCTGTACTTTTTCACAGAATCTCTCAGCAGTACCTACTGCACCTGACTCCACTGAATTCTACAAGCCCAATTTTTTCATTTGTGCCTGGTAATTCTAGTGCTTATTACCTGTTAAGTGGCCAGGGCCAGATTAAAACACTAATGTCAACAGGCTTTAAAAAATTATTCCCAACTCTCCCCCATGTGTAAATGAATATGACACAATGCTAAATGGTAACAAAAAATACAGGGAAAGCCAACACAGAACTTATTTTTCCATGGCATGGGAGGCAGAGTAATACCTCCCGAAGATGTCCACATGCTAATCCCTGGACCCTGTAAATATATTATGTCACATGACAAGGGGCAATTAAGGTTGTTAATCAGTTAACCTGGAGACAGGGAGATCCTTCTGGGTGGGTTCAAGGTAATCACAATGCTCCTTATAAAGGAAAGAAGGCAGGACAGTCGGAGTCAGAAATGAAGTGATGATCAAAGCAGAGGTTGGAGTGATACCATTGCTGGCTTTGAAGATACAGGATGGGACCAAAAGCCATGGAATGTGGGTAGCCTCTAGAAGCTGGAAAAGGCAAGGAAACACATTCTCCCCTAGAGCCTCCAAAAGAATGTAGCCCTGCTGACACCTTGAGTTTAGCCCCATGACACTTCTAACCTATAGAATTATAATAAATCTGTGTTGTTTTGGGAAAATTCCTTGCAATAAATCCCTTAATAAATATCTCCTGTTGTTTCTGCTTCTCTGATTGAACCTTGACTAATAACCACTTGATGGTAACCACTTTGATTCCCTTTTTAAAAAAATATGAAATATCATATTTGTTCAAAAGTTTTCATTGGTAACCCTGTTTTGTTGACACCTTCAGCATTTTCTAAACTCTGGGAACAACGGAATGATGTTCAAGTTTCCACATGTGTGAAATTGGGCTAATCAGTGTACCTCATAGGGTTATTAAAAGGATTAAATAAATTACTGAGCATAATGCACTTGGAATAATGTCTGGTACAAAGTGTTCAAAAAATGTTGGAAGAGATAAAGGACAGAAGAAAGGAGAGAGAGGGAGACAAGCTCCCTGCTTTCAAGGAGATTATATCCTAGAGGGGGAAACGGATGATAAACACAGGAAGGAAGGAAAGGAAGGAGGGAGGGAAGAAGGGAAAAAATATCTGATAGTTATAAGTGTCTCAGAAACACTTACGTTTAAGACTAGACCAGGGGTTGGCAGCCCACGGCAGGCCAGATCCAGACTGCCACCTGTTTTCATATGACCCGTGAGCTAAGAATGGCTTCTACATTTTTAAATCGTTGAAAAAATAAATAAAAAGAACACTGTGTGCCACGTGAAAATCATAAGAAATTCAAACTTCAATATCCATAGAGTTTTACTGGAACACAGCCATGCCTATTTAAATCTCCGATGGCTGCTTTCCCACTGCAATGGCAGAGTTGAGTTGTTGCCACAGATCAGAATGCCCACAGAGCCTAAAATATTTACTGTCTGGCTCTTTACCAAAAAAGTTTGCTGACACCTGCTTTAGACTGAGTGGTCAGGGAGGGCCTCCCTGAGGAGGTGACATTTAAACTGAGACCTGAATGGCAGGAAAGAGGAAGATTAGGGGTAAGAGGGCAGAGAACAGAGAACCAAGGCAAAAGCTTTCTCTCTAATCTTACAACAGCCTTCCAAAGAGGGACTCTGTCAAAACTATGATGGGGCCCTGAGGCTCTGAGGGTGCTGTGGTGTCCCAGGGTCAGAGCCCACAGGTCCCGAGTCGGGGTAGAGAGCCAAAACTGCCTGGCACAAGAGCCTGCCCCTTCTCAGCCTGGCATGGCACATGAACCCAGGAACTGCATGTTGAAAGACTTTATTTGCCTTCCTGGGGACAGTGACTGGGGATTTTAGATTCGTTCCCAGGAGTAGGTGAGGAGGGCTGGGATTGGCTCACGGTCCTGAGAGCAGGTGTTCTACAGCCCCCCTGTTGGCAGCAGGTCCAGGACTGGCACAAAGCCCAGATCTGGCCCTGATAGCAGGATCTGTGGCATGGCAGGGAGAACGGGGCAGCCCTCGATGAATTCAGTGCCCTGCTTTCATCCTGACTGGCCCACAGCTTGTAGCCCAATGCAAGGAAGCCTACCTCCAGCCCAGGGGGGCCCGACTCCAGCCAGGTGGGGTTTTCTGAGGCTGGAAAAAGAGTGACAGTCTCAAGCTCTCAGTTAATGAATGTGGCTCAGAGAGAACCCAGTTCTTAATCCTTTATGGGCCAATTCATTCCTGCCAGGCTCTGTGCTAATGGAGGAAAGTAGGCTGTTAGTCCCATTTTAGAGCCAGAGAAATTAAGGCAGTGAGGAGCAACAGGGGGTACTGGTTAAAACCAAAGACTCTGTACCTGAATCCCAGACTCAGTATTTGCCAGCTGTGTGACTTCAGGCAAGTGGCTTGACTTCTCTGTGCTTCAGTTTACCACTGATGATAATCTCTTCCTGAAAGAAATGTAAGGAATTAAGGAAACAATAGCCCAGCACCACACCCACAGAGCCCATTCTCTCAGCTTTGACAACAGCCTTAAGAGATCTTGGCGTGGCAGAGGACTCTGGCTTTGAGCCAGACAGAGCTCTTCTCCTCAAGGAGAAGACATCATCCTTGACTCCTCTCTTTTAAGGGCCACAGTCCATCAGCAAACCCTGCCTTCAATAACCACCCACAGTCCAACCATTCCTGCCATACCCGTGGTATCAACTTAATCCAAAGTGCCTTCAGCTCTCGCCCAGATTATTGCAAAGGCCTCTTAGCTGGTCTGAGATCGTCCATCCTTGCCTCTGCCCCCAGGTCTCCACAGCACTCCTCTTTTCAAAACCCTTCTGTTTCCTAACACTTCTGGAGTTAACTAACAACTTTTTTTTTAAAATTTTTATTGGAGTATAGTTGATTTACAATGTTGTGTTAGTTTCAGGTGTACAGCAAAGTGAATCAGTTATACATATATGTATATCCACTTTTTTTTTTAAGATTCTTTTCCCATATAGGCCATTACGGAGTATTGAGTAGAGTTCCCTGTGCTCTACACCAGGTTCTTATTAGTTATCTATTTTATATATAGTAGTGTGTATGTCAATCCCAGTCTCCCAATTTATCCCTCCCCCTCTTATCCCCTGGTCACCGTAAGTTTGTCTTCTTCATCTGTGACTCTACTTCTGTTTTGTAAATAAGTACATTTGTACCCTTTAAGATTCCACATATAAGCGATATCGTATGATATTTGTTTTTCTGTGTCTGACTTACTTCACTCAGTATGACAATCTCTAGGTCCATCATGTTTCTGCAAATGGCATTATTTTATTCTTTTTTATGGCTGAGTAATATTCCATTGGGTATATGTACCACATCTTCTTTATACATTCCTCTGTCGATGGACATTTAGGTTGCTTCCATGTCCTGGCCACTGTAAACAGTGCTTCAGTGAACATTGGGGTGCATGTATCTTTTTGAATTATGGTTTTCTCTGGGTATACGCCCAGGAGTGGGATTGCTGGGTCATAGGGTAGTTCTATTTTTAGTTTTTTAAGGAACCTCCATACTGTTCTCCACAGTGGCTGTGCTAATTTACATTCCTACCAACAGTGTAGGAGAGTTCCCTTTTTTCCACACCCTCTCCAGCATTTACTGTTTATAGATTTTTTTGATGATGGCCATTCTGACGGATGTGAGGCGATACCTCATTGCAGTTTTGATTTGCAATTCTCTAATAATTAGTGATATTGAGCATATTTTCATGTGCTTTTTGGCCATCTGCATGTCTTCTTTGGAGAAATGTCTATTTAGATCTTCTGCTCATTTTTAAATTTATTTTATTTTATTTGTTTACTTTTGGCTGCATTGGGTCTTCGTTGCTGCCCACAGGCTTTCTCCCGTTGCCGCGAGCGGGGGCTACTCTTGGTTATGGTGCGCGGGCCTCTCATTGCGGTGGCTTCTCTTGTTGCAGACCTTGGACTCTAGGCGCGTGGGCTTCAGTAGTTTGTGGCACGTGGTCTTAGTTGCTCCACGGCATGTGGGATCTTCCCAGACCAGGACTCAAACCCGTGTCGCCTGCATTGGCAGGCAGATTCTCAACCACTGCGCCACCAGGGAAGCCCTTCTGTCCATTTTTTATCTGGGTTATTTGTTTTTTTGGTATTGAGCTGCATGAGCTGCATGAGATAATCCCTTGTCGGTTGCTTCATTAGCAAATATTTTCTCCTATTCTGAGAATGAAATTAGAACACTCCCTAACACCATACACAAAAATAAACTCAAAATGGATTATTTATTCAAGGATCATTTTTTCTTGAGTACCTACTATATGCCAGATACTATTCCAGGCACTGGAGATAAAACAGAGAACAAAACTTCTGCATTCAGAAGTTTACATTCTCACGGAGAGAAGGACAATAAACGAATATATAAGTAAAACGTACTATTAATATGTTCAGTGTTCTGTAGGGGAATCACAGAGAGAAGGGAAGAGGGCTTGGGCTTTAGACCCAAGGTGGTCAGAGAAGGTATAATGGACAAAAAAAGGGTAAACAAAAAGCCCAAAAGTGGGAAAGGTGGGAGCCAAGGGGCAACCTAGGAGCCGAGTATCCTTGACTAAGGGCTCAGCAAATACATGGGTGGAAGTGTTCCTGGTGTGTTTTAGGTACCCCGAGGCAGCCACTGTGACCATCGTGGAAAGTGTGCATGAGGAGAAGAGGGGATTGACCTCACGGGGGTAAGGGGGCAGGGTTCAGTCTTGGAGACTCTCCAAGTTTTTTTTCCCTCAGATTGAGATTGGAAGCCAGTGTACATTTTGAGCAGCGGCGTGACTTCAGCTCAAAAGGATCACTGAGGCCGATGTGTGGAAAAGCTTAAAGAACAATAGCAGAGTCAGAAAGAGGGTTTAAGCAGCTATCACAGCTGCTGAGATACGATGGTTTCGACCAGGAAGGGAGGTAGCAGCAGAGGTGGTGTCAAACCCAAAGGTCATAACAGTGTACCAGCTCTCCCGATGGGGTTCTTCCTACCCCTCCAAACTCACCTTGTTCCTTCCTGTATCCCCAACCCCACAGACCACTGCTAAGCTCATATAGGCGTCTAATGAGTATCTGTTGAGACAATGAACAAATTAATGAACGATCTATCCCTAGATCATCATCACCTATTTTAACGATAGGCATATGGTCAGAACTCAATAAATGTTTGCAGACAGAATACCGCACGATTCTGCTAAACCCAGGTGGCTAGGCCTCTTCACAGCTGGGGAAAACTGAGCCTGGGGAAGTATACATCTGGGGTCCCTCTGCACAGCTTACGCTAGAAGCTTCCTTCCCAATTTCAGCATGGCGAATTCCTGGACACTGAGAAGAAAGAGCTTGCTTTCAGGGTGAGTCACAGTGACCTCACAGGAGTTTCCCCCAAAATGTCCCTACCCTGTGGAAGGGAAAAACTGGAATCTCGTAGGTCCGGAGGGTCAAAAGACTCAGGCCAGACAAATGCTCGGAACGTTCCCGGAAGACCTCCCACCCTCGGGCCATAGAGACGAAAGGACAGAAGTGCCGCCCTTGCGCAGCTGAGACCCCGCCCCCCGTTCCGCGCCTCCAGCGGAAGCCGGAAGCAAAAGCGGGCCCTGCTAGCCCCGCGGCTCGGTGGTCTCGGAGGCTCCGCAGGATTGGGGAGAAGATGGCGGAAGAGGAGTGAGTGGGTTTTTCCGGGGCGGCGGAGGCGGCAGGGCTGGGCCCCATCGGGTGACTGCGAGCACCTCAGGCCGCCCTCCGGCCCCATAAGGCGGAGCTCTTTGTGCTGGTTGGCCAGGACTGACCATGCCGGCGCCTGCGAGGAGGGCTGGAGGGACGGGCCTGGGCCGTGCAGCCTCCTAGAGGTTGGACCCTCTGGCTAGGGATCGGCTGCCCAGCATAGGTCTCGAAAGCCGTCTTGCGGAAACCGCAAGCCAAATTTCACTTTCCTAGTTTTCGCATCCGCTGATTACGCAGCGCTTCGCTGCCTCCAGAAAGTCCCCCAGCTGCACCCCTTACGTAGCCAGTCACCTCCTCCATTGTAATGACTATTTTTCACATCTGTTTCCTTCAGTGAGTTTCATTTATTCGTTAACTGGTGGCCATCTACTCTATTTCAGGCCCTGGTCACATGGTAGTGAAGGAGGCCGACCAGGAGCCGCTCTCAGGGAGCTTCCATTCTAGTGGAAAAAGAAGACCATAAATAGACTAGATGATTTCAGTGCTCTGGAGGAAACGGAGTGGTGTTGGTGTGTGGGAGGCTTCTCGGGAAGAGGTGACGTGCCACATGAAACCTTAGTGACCAGAAGGAGGGATAGGAGAGGAAACAAAAGGTGCAAAAGGCCAGGAGCAAGAAAGAGCCTAGTGCCTTTTTGAGGGACAGAAAGAACGGCAGGATGGCTGGAGTGTGGAGAGCAAGGGAGCTAACTGTACAAGATGAGATAAAGGGGAGTGAAGGTGCCTCTGTCCTGGTGCTTCTGGGGAAGGACCACTCTTAGTCCATCTACATACCTGCCAGGCACAGTCTGTTGCGTGTTATAGGTGCCCCATCTATATTTGTGGAATGAGTATGTGAAAATGAACAAGGAACCAACCCCATGGTTGAACTTTGACTTCCTCACCTGACAACTTTTCATGCATGTCTTTTGGCCTGGTGGTCATTTCATTTAGTCACGTTACTTATTGAGCATCTTCTCTGTCCCAGACACTAAATTGGGCCTCAGCAGCACAAAGCAAAAGAGGTGGTATGACTCAGTGATTTCAAGTTTGGACTTAAAGCTTGATTCTGCCACTGACTGATACTCGCCAAGTTACGCAACCTCTCTGAGCTTGTTATTCATGGGTAAAAAAGAGAAAGTAGTAGTGTCCACCTCAGGCTTATTATGCCCATTAAATGAGACTTGGTATGTTACCTGGTTCCTGGAATTAAGCGGTACTCAAAAAACATTAGCTGTTATAATTACAGTTACGGTGATCATTATGTCAATATCGTGCTAGTTTACAATCCCAACACAGTGTGAGGAGATAGTGTGAGGAACACAGCAGTAGTGTGGAGGAGGGGATTACAGAGGGGATTACATTTGGGCTTTTTGAACTCAGAGGTTTTTGTAAAGTAGGGTAGAGCATTCTGACCAGATCAACAACTGGGCAAATTCAGTGGCTTCTTCAGCTTGCAGATACCATCTAAGGAAAAGAATGTAAACTGGAGAAATAAGGCACTTAGTAAATAATGTTGGACCTTGGAATATGATGAGACTCCAGTTTGCCTCCCTTTAAATCCCCCATTAAGTGCCAAAGAGCAGGCAGCCTTTGATTCTACACCGGTCCTGATTCCCCCTTGTCCCTGTCCTCTAAGTGTTTGCGTTCAGAGTACCTGAGGCCACTGGTACCCTTGTGCTGCAGCAGGAGGGAATCTTCCTAATCAGTTTCTCTCCAAGGCCTGCCTCTTGGTTGCAAGGGTTGTGAATCCCATCAAGCTCCGTGCCGAAGTTCTCTGTCTGGTTTGTGTGTGTGTTGGTAATTCGGGCCCTTTTTCCTTTGTCTAATTCCGCTGCTTTTTATGTTCTCCAACAGGTTCCCCAATACAACTCACGAAGGTTTCAATGTCACCCTTCACACCACCCTGGCGGTCACTACGAAACTGGTGCGCCCGAGCCCCGCCAAGCCCATCCTCCCGGTGCAGACGGGGCAGCAGGCTCAGCAGGAGGAGCAGTCGAGCGGCATGACCATTTTCTTCAGCCTCCTGGTGCTCGGTGAGTGCGGGCCGCGGTGAGTGCGGTCCTCGGTGAGTGAGTGCGGCCCGGGGTGAGTGCGGCCCGCGATGGGTGCGGCCCGGGGTGAGTGCGGCCCGCGGTGAGTGCGGCCCTCGGTGAGTGCGGCCCTCGGTGAGTGCGTGCAGAGACACCATCATCTGGCATTGCGAGTGTCTGTGTGTGCTGTCTGTGTGGTCAACCCCGTGTCAACCACTGTTGACTTGGTCAAGTCTTCCTCCTGTTTGGTTTTCACTTCAAACGCTGAGGGTCAGTGATCAGTCTGTTCATAACATCATAACAGGGTACTCCTTTTTCTTTATAAAATCATTGAACTGAGCAATTCTGAAGAGCCCTTTATATATCTTAGACATCCTCTGAAAGGAAGAATTAAAGAATTTTTGCTCTAGAGAGAACTTTGAACATCTAGTTGAGTGTATTTCAGACTCCGCTCCTGAGAGTCTCTGTGTGTTTCTGTGTAGGTGGCGGTGGGAGCAGGGGGTGGGGTGGGGCCTGAAATGGCAGAGCATCCAGCTTTCTGACCAGAGCAGCATTTTGTCCCTCGTACCCATTAGGCCTCCACGTAAAATTTTACTTAGTTAAGAGGTTTGCTGTGAGTAAAAGATCACACACTCTTGCCCTAGCACACTGTTTTCCTTAACTTCCGTCATTCCCATTAACCATGGTCATGACTTTTGCCATATCTGTGTACCACCTGTGCTGTTATTTACCTATATAACGTTTTTCTTTAAACAGATGCACTCTCTCAAACTGAAAATCTCATTTTATTCGACTTCCTCCTTTAACAGGTGAAGAAATTTAGGCCCAGAGAGGTTAAATTATTGACAGACCTGGTTTGGGGGAGACTAGAGGCTAATATCCAGGTTGCCAGACATTGGTCAAGAAGTTTAGATAAAAGGCAGTAACTTAGCTGCCTCCCAGAGACTATGGACAGTAGACACCTGTTTTAGACCAGAAGACCAGTTGAAACTGCACAACCACTTTGGATCAGCTAAAGAAGAAATAGCTTCAAATATGACCCTCCAAACTCTTGTTTGAAGAGTGAAGTTGGAACGTTTACATTTTCTGCTTCTCTTTAATGATACTGAGTCATATTTCTGATTAGATCTTTTCATAAGAAAGGAAGGTACAAAAAAATGGAAAAGTGCAGAGTATTTCCATAGCCATAATAGATGGCTATTAGGACTGTTTTTTTGAGGAAAAGTGTAACTTCTTTCACACTTCTATTCAGACTCTGTTAATTAAATAATTTTAATAAGATACTAATTTTATTTAAAATCCCAGGACTCATCCTTGTCTTTCATAGTTTTTAAAAAACTTCTAAGTTGTACACTGAAAAAGTACACAGACCACAAGTGTACAATGTCCATTTAGATTTGATATGCCCAAATAATTTTTTACTCTTTCAGTGTAATTGAATTCTACTTCTAGGGGATTACTTTAACAATCAAGGAATCTTGTTTTGTTTTCTTTTTTTTTCCTTTTGTTACAGTAGTTGAATACAAAGAAGAAAAGCAGTTCTTCCCTTGATCAAGAAGTCTTTAGTACCTGAATCCTTAAACCTGAAAGAGTATTATTAGTCTATTTACATTGTTGTCAGCATGATATGTTAGGGAATATAAAAGGCAAGCCTTGGGGAAAAAAACTTCTGTTTTGTAATCACTTTTTTCACTGGAGGGTGAAAAAGATAAGGCTTTCAAAGTAACTTTCAGGGTGTGGAGTGTCTAGGATTAGCTTGTGCCCGAGATCACAAAACAGGTTTTTATGATGTGCTTTTTAATCCAGACAAAATCCTGCCCACTTTTGGCCTCTTTGAGGCCAAAAAGGGCTGAACTGTATTTAGTAGTGCTGAATATTTCTATTGGATTGTCTTCTCTTCAAACAGATCATAAACCTATACTTTAGAGTCATACTGATGTCAGATGGTTTCAGTTTTCACCTAATCAGTTGAGTTGGTATCTCCACTTTTTATGTGTAGGTCAGCATACATTAGAAAAGTGGAATGCTTTCTAAGTAAATTTGAAGGCATTTTTTTCCTCTGTTCTTGTATATCAACAAATTATTAAGTATCTTGTATATTTATTTGTGATTATGTGTCCAAACAGTGTAAATCTGATAAAGAAAAATAAAATGGCTGTTAATAAGTAACTTGCCAGCTCACTAAATATATAGACTAGTGAATTGCGGGAAATAGTCCATAGATTATTCTAGACTTCAGGAACTCATAACCTGGAACAGATTTACCACTTTTGTTTACTATTTTAGTCAGGTCAAATGAAATTGTAACTTTTGTGTGGAAAGGATGCCAAAACTCTGGTTACTTTTGACTTTTAGAAGCTTGAAATCAGTTGACTTACACTTAACCCTTGCTGATCTTTGACTCCACAGAGACAATAGTGAGTCATTATTATTGACTTAGAGTTAACTATTAGCATCATTTGACACATTTTATGGGCCATTAAATTTAATGGAGTTGTTAAAATTGACATGCCTATGTTTCAATATATTTTCTGTAATTAAAACTTCAGGCATGAAAAATTGGAAACATTAATTTGTACTCATACCCTCCATATGGCACAGAAGTTTTTGTCCCTTCTTGCTCTGTTTTTTCCCAAGTGTACTTGAAAACATGCACTTGTATGTGTATATATACATGTGTACATTTGTAAGCACATACACACCAACAGGCACATATAGTTTGGAGTTTGTTTTAATATAAGTGGGGTCCTATAACTTGCCTT